AACAAAAAAAATATATTAAAGGGACGGCAAATAAATGTATTGTATCTACAGTACATGTGTAAAGGAACTAGAACAGGAACTTAGAATGAGTATTTAAAATATAACTTCACTATAATAGCTGTATATCTGGGCTCTAGTCACCCCTACTGTCTGATATTTATATTATATATTAATAATTAAATTTACTCTTTAATTTGTAATTAAAATCATTTAGACATCATCTGAAGCACTGAAGGGCCAGCTGCTGAACCTTCAAGCTGTCCTGCATCATTATTACTGGATATCTGTGTTTCCTATAATCATATAATGTTTCTATTATAAAAGTACATTTTTGATATTAAAGGATTAAATGTAACAAAACCTTTTATCATCATCCTATATTGCGTACTGTCTGACTGTTAAAATAGCTCCTTATGTCTATTTTCTTTTTAGTGGCATCATCTACAAAGCACAAAACTAAGTTATTCAAATATAAAATCACTTTTAACAATTATAAAAGACAATATAACACTATCTTATCTGTAATGTAATAATATCCAAGATAAACAGCCAGATTAAAGCATTTTTACCAGATGCTAATGTCTGTACTAATTTACTTATAAACTGTTGGGATATCATGTAAAATAAAATCAATATAAATAATGTTCCTCTGTTTGTCTTTATCCTTTTTCTAGAAGTAGAAATAGTAAATTAAATAGCTTTATCATTATATGGAACCCTAGTTAAGCTTTACAAACTAGAACTAGCAGATGTTTAGGCACTATCTCATATTGTTATAACCTATAAAAAAAAACAACCTGCTATTTATAGCTGAACTCCCTCAAAGGGTCGTCAAAAATGAAAAAAGTTAAATTAATAGTAAGCAAAGAAGTATTGGAAAAAGGGAAAGCCTCACATTTTCTTTTTCAGTCGGCTGTGGCTAAGAATCTGAATTTTTCATAGCTTAGCTCAGATCTCCTGTCTGACTCAGAATGCTTAGTTTTATAAACGAAAAAAAAAGTTTTTGTTGATATTATACTTCAAAATTAAATAAAAGTTTCTGCGAGATGCTAATGTTGGTTCCACAAATCAAAACACTCTCTTGCTTCTTAACAGAACTGCAATCAGATGCGTTCACCTGTTTTTGTGTAGATATATATATATTTTTTAATTGAGAATAGTTTCATAGCTTAATATTAATTGTAGTGACCACAAATATATATTTTATATAATAAAATTAATAATTTTGCGCTCAAAGCAGAAATCTGCTTCCTGGTCTGTTGAAGAACCAATAGTTTGCATCCAATCTTTTAAATAAACAGTGTTAGTTTTTTAAATATATAAGAATTATGCTCTAATTTGTAGTTACTGATCTGTTTTTACTATATCTTAATTTGACAAACCGGATTTTCTCATCGTTCTTTTCCCTGTTTGGTGCGATTGCAATAGCGGATCTTGACCTGGCCGGACCGAAGCAGATCCTGAACATTTAGAGAATGTTTTTTCATGATCTGGCCTGTTTGCTCCTCCTTAATTAATCATTCCTTTCACCTGTCCTTTTCCCTCCCTGCCTCAATTAGAATTTATTCCCCTCACCTGTTTCCTCTTGGCTATATTCAGTTCAGCCTGAGCATTCAGTGCCAGATCATTAACTGTTTTTCTGTTAGCCTGTCTGTTCAGTTTATTTCCTTGGTTCATGTCCTGGATCCTGGCAGCCAGTGGAAAGATGGTTTTGTGTCTGTCTCGTCTCCTAATCGTCCACTGTTCCTCCCCCGCTGAGTCCTCTGGGTTTTTGGCTCTATATGCGGGGAGGTTCAGTCTTTATCCAGTAAGCCTGGCTCCAGGGAGGAGACCAGTTTAAAGGTCCTGCATCAAGTTCTGGTTCCACGTCCTGTCTGGGCTACCCTCTTCCACTAAGCCTGCTCATCTGCACCTGATCCTGTTAGACTCTGAACCCTCCTGGAAGCCTGTGGATGCCTGGAAGTCTGGATCCTGCCTCCTGTTTCTGTTCCTGCCTGATCTGGATCCTGTCCCTGTCTGTTCTGGATCCCTGACCAGGATCAGCTTCCAGCATGTCCTCTGGGACTGCAGCACTTGGGGACATCCTAGGACTGCAGTGTCCGCAAGCCACAGCTCCACTTTAGTTTTTGTTAATTTAATAAACCTTTTTGAACTTTCTTACTGACTGTCTCTCCTTGAATACTGGGTCCATCTGTCTTCGGTTCATGACGTGTTTGGCTCAACCTGCTGCTGTGAAGCAGGATTCTCCACCATGAACAGAATCAAAAATAAATATGGATCCAGGCTCAAAATGAGCACCTTGATATGTGCTTGAGAATGGCTTAGTCTCCATTCAAACCCAGGTTTAAAGCCTTGCAGGGCAGCATAAAGCCCACTGCTCTCATTAAGCCAGAAAAAAGAAAGAAAATAACAACCGGTCGCTTCAGGTGTTTTATAAAATATGTGAATCAGGAAATTGTCTGTATACCAAACTATTGTTGTTCTCTACTTTAAAAAAAACACTTTAGATTCTAAAATAAAATAAAAAATTACAATTTTTTTTTTTGATTAAAAAATTCAATGTAGAGTTAAATTCTGTTTAAAGTAACAGATAATTAAAAATGTCTCCAGACCTTTGCTGGTTGATGATTTTCTTTATTCTGTCCCGCTGAGTTTTAATTGGTTACCCCTGATATAAGGGTTGGGGATGACGAGCCTGCAGTTACAGGATTTAAAGGCTTCTGTTAGGTTTTTGTATTTAGCTAAAAATAAGCCCAAACACAACTTTGAACGCCACACATTTATTCAGTGATTTCATATTGCTGAGAATGCAACAGTAACAAAATAAAAATATTATAATATACAGATAGACTGGTTCCTTTAAGTGGCTCTTTTGTAATGGCTCAGAAACATCAGCAACATTAATAACAAATAAAAACAGGAAAAAAACTGAAATGTTTTGCTTTTTCTTAAACTAGCAAAGAACAGACTATTTAAACACCTACTACTTTTGTCAAACTTATTGCATTACAATACTAATTTTCAAGGCTACTTACTTTTATTTGTTGAAAAAGCTCTGTATGTCTGACGATGTTTTTGGTGGCATCTTTTTTTAAACCAACCCGTCTACTACTTGTTTATACGAAATCAAACCTGAAGTAGCTGCTGGTTAATATTAATGATGCTACTGTGTCTCTCTCCTCCAATCCCGTAGCTACTGATGACGCGGTGAATATCGACAGCCAATCATGTTCTATCATAAAGTGACAGACGTGGAGCCATGGACATAGGATCCAATGATGTTCTATCAGTAGGCGGGACTCAGGAGCAGCGGGATAGCGAGACAGAAACACTGAGTGAAAACTCTCAGACACACACAGTCCTGAGGTTACTGTTGTTGGCTAAAGTAAATGAGCTGAACACAAATGTACTAATTAATGGTGGAGGACTGTCCCCACCCATTTCAAAGTTGGTGGGGACATGTCCACACCAGTCCTTCAGAAAGTTACGCCAGTGACCAGGGGGCCAGTAAGGGGGGCAGCGTGGTTTTATGGGGACACAGAAAAGCATGACATAAAAAACAGGGCAAGAGATTCAAATATATTAAGAGAGCTGCATGAAGTGAAATTTCCTCTTACTTAGGTTAAATAAAAATTCTATTTCTTATGAGGTCAATATACATTCATAATTAATGAATTTTAAATATTTTTCATTTAAGTTAAAATGACCGTTTTCTATAAAATTTAGATTAGAATTCAAGAAAAACTGTTAAATTAGTCTGTAAAAATTAGAGCATTTGTTTCTATTTGATGTGAGAAATCTAATACATGCAGGTAAAGTGGAACTTGATGAGTGGGTGGGAAAACTGCTGATCTAGAATCTGATTATAAATGTGTTTGTTTATTTTTTTGTTAGAGGTCAGAGTGTCCTGGTTTTAAGGAAATATCTACAGTACTAATGGAAAACTGTTTATTCAAAGTTGGTTTTTTGCCCAAGAGTCAAACTTAGGAGGATGAAGAGAAACAAGAGAATGAGGAAGCAAAGCATCCTAAACCTCATTTTAAGTTCACTTGTTTTTAAAACACTGAAGCCTGCATGACCCACTGAGATCTGATAATTCATCACGATCTCCTCCTCTGAGAGGGAGGAGCTGCTGTCTCTGCTAACAGCAACTAGTTGCTCTGATGTTGCTCATGTTACTCAGATTAATCCTTTATCTCAGAGACGTTGTAGCAGAGAGACTGAGGTGTTTAATGATCATCCTCTGTGTCATGGAGCTGCAGGAAAAGAAGAAGAGAAACTGAGTAAGTTTATGATGATTTCTGTTAGTTCCTTTGGCTGAAATTCAAAGTTGGTTTAATTAGAAAACTTTTTATTTTTCCAACAATGTGTTGGAACAATCTGTGTGTATCCACCTGTAGCACAGCTCAGTGTATCTATAACAATGACTTTGAATCTATAAACAGTTTATTAAGAGTTTATTGAATGATCAAGAGGTTCAGTGATATTAATCTGATCCTCCCTACAATCAATATAAAGCAGGATGATTTAATCCAGGTTCCTCTGATGGTTGGAGTTCTAGTGTGGATGAATGTGGATCTAGTGGAAAGAGCTTTGAATGATCGACATGATTAGAAAATTCAGTCCATTTAGCATTTATAGTCTCAGCAGATCAGATCAATTTACTATCAACACTTTTTAATCTTTTAGGCCTGGTGTCTATTTCTGGGTATCTAGAATATTAAAGAACTAAAGTTGATTGAAAGGATCATGAAGGTTTAACAGCAAAGGCAGAGATAGATTTAGTTGGATTGAGATTAAAATGTCTTGTTGGATGATATTGATTCTGATCTCTGCTCTGTTCCAGATTCAAACCTGCAGTAAACACAGATCTCTATCAGAACCATCAGAGGAACTGAAGGTAATGAAGGTTGAAGGTCAGACTGTAGATGATCCTTGTTGTCTGTCAGTGATGTTGGAGCTGATGTGTTGCTGACTCTCCTCCTCTGTCTCCTCTGAGGGAGAAGATGATCTCCAGGATCCTGCTGCTCATCATCATCAACTCATGTCTCTGTGGTCAGTTTCCATCTTCTCTTTGTTCTAAATCCATCAATAATCAGTGAAAAGTCTGTCAGTGAAGGTAACACTTCAATCCTCCAGCTGCATTTGATCAAGCAGTTTGACTAGAAGAGAATCAAGCAGAGCTCTGACAGCACAGAGACCATCATGAGACAGAAACCTCTAGAGATGGAGTTTAAAGACTCCCATGTTCCAGTTCTCAGTGTGTCTGCTCCTCTCTTTCCCTCTCTGTCTCCTCAGCAGCAACATTTGTAGTGAATGTGACACAGAGCTCCTATCAGGCAGAGGAGAACCACAACATCACTCTGGAGTGGACCTTCACCACCAGACCCAGCAGCACCTGGACACAACTGTTTATCCTCTGTGAACTATTAGCTCCTCCCAGAGCCTCAGTCCTCTATCATGTCCATGATGGTGTTGAGGTGTCAAAGTCTCAGGATGAACAGTTTTCAGGACGAGTCCAGAGTGACAAAGACGTCCTCAGAGAAGGACCAATCAGACTCCATGTGTCCAGACTGAGGACTGAAGACTCTGGTCTGTATCTCTGTGATGTCAAGACTGATGATGGCTTCAACTCTGGAAGATGTTACCTTAACGTCTCTGGTGAGTTTATGCTTTAGCATCTGAATGTTTAAAACACAATATTTCTGAATATTATTAAATATTTACATTTTTGTTTTTCTCATAAATTCTCTCTGTTTCTGTTGGTTTTTGTTCATTCTGAATATTTTGACTCTGGTTTAGTTTGAGGAAAATCAGACTGAGGGAAGAATCCTAACTGGGTTTCACTCAGAGAGTCGGAGATGAAAAGCCTCCATGTTACTGTGGGTTTCTGAGCAGAACCGACCCTGTTTATCCAACAGGTTCCAACAGAACCAAGTGTCTCTGTTGTTGTTTAGATGTTTTCATCTTTTTTTAATACTTTCTCATTACATTTTTTTGTCCTGCAGGTTTCTCTAAAACTCAAAGTTATAAAATCTGAAAACAAACCAAAACCAGATCAAATGTTAAGGAACAGTTTCTCTGACAGCAGATTAGGAATATTTTCTCATTCTCACTGACATTCAATTGATCTAAGGCAGGCATCCCCAAACTCGGTCCTCAAGGCCCCCTGTCCTGCAGGTTTTAGAGGTTTCCTTGCTCCAGCACAGCTGATTTTAATTGAAACCTGATTAACAGGCTTTTGGTCTACTGCAATCATTATAACCAGCTGTGCTGAAGCCTGCAGGACAGGGGGCCTTGAGGACAGAGTTTGGGGATGCCTGATCTAAGGGAAACCTGCTGATTGCAGCTGGTCAATGACTAAACCAATCCCTCAGACCAAACATGCTTGTAGTGACAGTGGAGAGAAAAACTTCCTTTTAACAATAAGAAACCTCCAGCAGAACCAGGCTCAGTGTGAGCGGCCATCTGCTGAGGCCGACTGGGGTTTAAGGAGATAGAAGCAGGAGTACAAATGAAACATAGAGACATTGATGTACGATTACCTTCTTTGTTAGACAAGGTATTTGTAAGTTAGCCCCCTAGATGGCTCTATTTGGCAAAGAAATGGCTAAGCAGATGAGCTCTTGGTCAGTTTTTTTCTTAAAGGGATGAAAGGGAGGACATACAAGTAGTCACAGTAAAGCTGTGCCTATAGCTATTTATAGAAAACCAACAGGACTACACTGAATAAACAGGCCCCACTCCAACATCTTTAAACAAAGGTGATTATAGCAGCAGCACAGCTGATTCTTCTCTCTGGGATGGAGTCACAGCCAAACAGGAAGAGACGAGATAAAGCTTCTACAGTGAGAAAAACAGAGAGTACAGAACCTTATGGGTTTCACTAACCCTATGTCCTCCAGCAGTCTAAGCCTAAAGCAGCATAAAGTAGCAGCTATTTAAAATGTTCCTTCCCAGTCAAACACCAGCTGAATGTCAGAAAACTTCCAGCCGCTGGAGTGACCCCCTCCTTCTCCTGGGCGTGTATATATATTTAATCAGACTTCACCCTTTCACTGAATTACAGGGTCTGAACAGGAGATGGCACTTCTCTTTAGATCTTAATATCCACAAATCCTGACAGAATACTTTAGTTCAAAGATTGATGTTTTAAAAAGGAATCTTAGGGGACCAGCCAAGGGCCCATCAAGGAAAGTGGGGACATTTTGAATGACTACTACTGTACATAGAGATAGATCATTATAACCTGAGCAACTCTAACTATAAGCTTTATTAAATAGGAAAGTCTTCAGCATTGCCCTAAAAGCAGACAGGGTGTCTGTCTCACAGACTAAAACTGGTAGTTGGTTCCACAGGAGAGGAGCCTGATAACTAAAAGATCTGCTTCCCATTCTACTTTAGAAATTCTAGGAAACCTGCAGAGTGAGAGCAAAGTGCTCTGTTAGGAACATAAGGAACAATTTTAATTTCCATCTGAAATGTTCAGGATTTCCCTGAATCTCCTTCATGTTTTGTTCTTCCAGCAGCTGCTGATGTCTCAGAACCTCAGAGACCGACTGTGGATCCAGAACCAGAAGGTCCAGGAAGGATGGGCCTCTATGTTTCTCTGGTTCTGACAGCAGCAGCAGCTCTGATGGTCAAACTGCTCCTAATTTACTGTTTCAAAGCTTCAAACTCAGGCGTTTAACAGAACCCTGAAGGTTCTGAAGCTGCTGTAGGACCGATGTCCTCACATTGGAGTCTTAATTTCTTTGGTGGACAGAGGGTCTCATGGTGGACAGAAAGACAGCAAGGAGTCCAGGTCCAGTTGCTGCAAACCAAGCCCACATCATGACGTCTCCATCTCCATGCTGACAGCTGCTGTTGGTTCTTATTTGGTGTGTTTGGTTCTCTCTTCATTCTGACCAAACATCTGGACTTTGGGTCCATCTTTGTTCCAGAAGTCTGTTGGTTCTGATCCAACTGAGCAGACCGACGTGTTTCTGCCTTCAGTGTTTTAGAGAGAAGAGATTTTCTCCTCCAGCTCCTCAGAACCAGCCTTACTTAAAACCATTAAAACCAGTAATCTGCCAAAGTGCTGCTTTTCCACAGGTTCTCCCTCTGATGATGATCAGTTCAATCAGTCATTTCATTATGACCTCCTGACTGTGACCCATTCAGACCAGATGAAGGACTTTTTCACTCAATGCTTCTGCACTTTGGCCTAAATTCTGTTCAGTAAAATCAGTTGGTGAAACTTTTACTATAACTCTAACAATAAACAAGAACTTAAGGATTTTATAAAAGCTTTGATACAGAAAATGTTTGAATTCAAGACTGAATCTGTTTCTGGTGTTAATCTGCTTTAAATAAAGCAGTTTTTATATAAAGATGTTGTCAGGACTCTGATTGCATGTTTAATGTCAAGTAAAGGTTATTTTTAATACATTTATTTATAGGCATTAATGTGTTTTTATGGTTCTACTTTTTACATGATTGTATTTCATAAATATATGATCAGGTAATTAATGATCTACTGTTAGATTATATTTCTTTCTATACTATTAAAGTGGAGGCTTTATATAAGCCATTTGGCCCTCTGAATCTTCCTGCTCTAGTTTCTTTGTGTTGTTATAAATTTTAATTTGTCTAAAAATAAACTAAACTATTTTAATTCTGGATGTTTCATGGAGCTAATATCAGCTGTAGCTATGAACTCTGAACAGACTGAATAAAGAGTAAAATCCTCCTGATCAACCAGCAGTTAAACATGATTCCCACAGTTTAATAACCTCAACTGTCTTTCTGTTCGTCCATCTTTTAATCATCATTATTTATTCAAACTCCTGCATCTGTTTCTGCTGCAGGTCTTCCAGTCTTTCATTAATGTAGCTGAGGAGACTCATTAGGTTAACTCTGCATCAGGCTATCTAACTGATTTCTTTATAGATATGAATTATTATTTGTATTATGTGGGTTAACAGTAACAGAAATTGTTACTAGTTAATTATTTATTTTGCAGCATTTCCCTCTAAAAATAGGATAAATTCAGGCATTTATTGCTGTAACTTTGTGTTTCTATATATCTGTCCAGGTTGATCTAATAGATGGAAACAGACCTTCTGGACTCAACAGACAGACTGATCTGAGCTGCTATTAAAGCTGGAACAGCTGATGGACTTTATTACTGTGATCACAGCTCTTTATCTGCTCCATTGGTTCTGATGCTTCTATTCTGTTAATAAATCCAGATTTATTCACATCGTCAGAAAAATGATTCACAGTAGAAACTTCAAACATCAAACATGAGCTTAAGATGTTTTAAACACTTTTATTTTGCAAAATTCAAGTTAAAACACTTAAGTCTCTAGATTAAAGATTTGAATAATTTAAATTGAATATTAAGACAATTTTTATTTTAAGTCTGATGGTTAAATCTGGTCAGACTGAAATCCTTTTAAAATATCTGAAAGTGTTTTTATTGGAGCGCCATCTGGTGGTGATTTAATGAACTGTGTTCTTCTGCAGCTGAAGGTCTGATCCTGTAACATGAGGAACATTTGGCTGATTGGATCAGTTCCCTTTGATTGGTTCTGTTCTAATGTTCTCCTTCAGAACCTCATCAGAACCTCTTCATTTCTGAATCTAATAGTGAAGAAGCAGCAGTGGATTTATTAATATATGTGGCTTTAGTTCTTAATAAATATTTATTTCCACTCCCCTGACGTGGACTAATGTTTTCTAACTTTAGCAGATAAACTTCTGGGGTTTCTCCTCCATATTTTCAGTCCAGCTGCTGTTCATGTTACAGTTAGAGAGAATATTATCAGATCAAGCAGAACTCAGGGTCCAAACTCTACCAGGGATCATTTACCAGAGAGAAAGATGTTGATGTTTCCATTCTATTGGTTATATTGTGGTTTTAGTGAATTCCACCACTAGAGGGGGCTGTGGCCCTACTCTCTGTCCCAGCAATCAGTTAATGCAGGAGTAATGGAGCTCATGTTTCAAACTCAGGTCCAGATGGTTTGAAGGATTTAGTGTTGGTGGGAGATCTGATAACTGTTATGTAGATTTAGCAGAAAACAATCATCTCCTACAGCTTTGGATGGTTTCTGTCTCCTTCAGTCCAGTTTGCTCCTTTAACTGCTTCTTTGTCTCTTCATTAGCCTGAAGTTTGATCAGTTCGATCATTTGGAGACATGCTAATAATTTCTAATATCTGACCTTTTGTTGTTCAGATTATAATTCAGAGATTATTAGTATGACAAAACATTTGCTTTATTGCTTACTTAATAAATTATGGAAGATAAAACTACCCGGGTGAAACCAGTCTTTGTTTTGTCAAAAGTGATTAATTTATTAAAGTCTTATAATAATTGTGAAATATGTATGTTGTATCATATATATAATTGCATGTATTATCAACATTTCTCACATGTTGCTCCTCATATCTGATGCAGAAGGAGCCAGACCAAGTGTCCTAATATGGTGGGTAGGTTGTTAGAACCTGTTGGTGCAGCACCCATGGGTGGAGGTGTGGCTCCAGAGCCTCATCAAAGCAGGAAGCAGCCTAAAAATAAATCACTTATTCTTCAAGGAGCAGCACAGAGGAGCCAGGTTTGTATTCTGTTTTTTTTTAACTTTGGATAAATAATCAGCCAATATGAATTTCTTAAAAGCTGGAACCAAAGCTTAAAGGAAAGCTGAGGCTAGTTTTGGTCAAAGAAAACAGAATCTGAACTTTTTCTCTGCGTTGGTTTGTTGTTGCGCACTTTTCTCTGCGCCAACCCCATCAGGAACCATTTTCTCTATAATTACTTTATCAGATTGAATCTCCTGGTTTGATAAAATCCTTGATTTAATGTGTTCAATAGCTGATGCTAAAATCTTTTAAC